CAAGCGGTTTTGAGCTATATCATTCAAGGTCTCCAACCATCGATTGCTATTATCTCGCGTACCCTAACCAGGTATTCTACACCTAACAACATGACTCAATCCAGTTTTCAGTTACTTAATGGATTTGTTTTGGTTTGGCCGCCCCTAGCTTTCTTACAACCCGCTCCTACACCACAAAACATAGCTCATCGAGGCAGTCGGTGGTTGGGCATACATACATGTCGCAACCACCTCAACTGATGAAATGTCAACATTTTATCTGTTGATTTAATGATCTTAAATCTCTACATAACATCAAGACTTCCTATTTGGTGCTAAGGGTGGTCTTATGGAATAGCCCTTTTTGGGGCGGCTACTGCCGGTCTCATCCACGGATGAAGGAGGAGGGTTGGGCATGGGGTTGGCGATGCTATCTCACAAAAAAACGCCAACCAGAAAACATAATTCAAACCATTTTAACTCTGCCCTGGGAGTTGGAAGGTCTTTCAGAAGAATTATGACGTCTCATGATGAAAGCCGAGTTCCCTCGAAAGTCACGAGGCTGATGCCCCTTCCCGCAGCCAGGGCAACCATTCTCTTACGTACATGGAACGTTCGCACATTGTGGGAGACTGGAAGACTACTTTAAGTTGCCGCAGAAATGAAAATATACAACCTCGAGGTGCTCGGCGTCAGTTAAACGCATTGGACACAGGTAGGACAACTGAGACTAGCTTCAGGGAAACTGCTGTTATACTCTGGCCATGAAGAAGAAAATATTTTATATACACAAGGAGTTGCACTGATGCTGTCCAAACATGCACAAAAGGCACTACTAGGATGGGAATATCATGGACCCAGGATCATTAAAGCATCCTTCAAAACAAAGAAACAGGACATTACAATGAACGTCATCCAATGCTATGCACCTACCAACGACCACAATGACGACGTTAAAGATCGATTCTACGAAAGGCTGCATTCAATCGCCGACAGATGCTCACCGAGGGACTTGATGATTCTAATGGGAGACCTAAATGCCATGGTTGGCATGGACAACACCGGATATGAAGACATCATGGGATGGCATGGAATGGGAGAATGGAACGAAAACGGGGAGAGATTTGCAAGCCTATGTGCCTTCAACAAATTGGTCATCAGCGGCACAATATCCCCACACAAGCGCATACACAGAGCTACATGGATTTCACTGGATCACACTCAACAAACCCGAATCGATCATGAATAAAAGTAGTCAGAAGGACGATGGAGGACGCACGAACCAAGAGAGGAGCTGATTTGGACTCAGATCGCTACTTGCTGGTTGCCAAAATGAAACTGAAACACAAGGAACACTGGACAGCAGGGCAGAAAACGCTACAAAAGTTTAATATGGCCTTTTTCCGGGATACTGGAAAGCTCAACGAATCCAAGATACCCCTCAGAAATAGGTTCCAAACCATACACGACCTACTCAATGGAGAGGAAACTACGACTGCGGACATTTGTAAGGGGATAAAATAGGCAGTCACTTCAAAATGTCAGGAGGTTCTGGGTCACAGGAGGCAGCATCACAAGGAATGGATCTTTGTTGGTACCCTTGAAAAAAAAGTTGAACAAGAAGGCCGCAATCAACATCAGCCGAACAAGAGCAGAGAAAGTTAAGGTACGAGTTAAATACACAGAAGCAAACAGGCAAGTGAAGAGGAGCATCAGAGAACATCAGAGCCGACAAACCAAAATATGTGGAAGATCTAGCAATGATGGCAGAAAAGGCTGTAAGAGAAGGAAACATGAGACAATTGTGCGATAAAACAAAGAAGATCGCTGGAAACGATCGTAAACCAGAACGACCGGTAAAAAGCAAAGAAGTAACTAGCAACACTGAAGAAAAGCAAAACAAGTGGGTAGAGCATTTTAAGTAACTCTTAAATCGACCAGCTCCACTGAGCCCATCAAACATCGAAGCAGCATCTACGGACCTCCTAATCGATTTTGGCCCACCAACAATTGGAGAGATCAGTATCGTCGTTGGGCAACTGAAGAGCGGGACCAGACAACATTCCAGCACTGACAGAGAAAGCAGACGTGGCACTAACTGCAAAAATATTCTACATTCTCTTCAAAAAAAATTGGGATGAAGAACAAGAACTAACGGATTAGAAAGAAAGATACCTCATCGAAATACCATTGAAAGGCGATCTCAGCAAGTGTGACAACTACAGAGGCATCACTCTCCTCTCACTAATAAGCAGAGTCTTCAACAGGGTATTGTTACACAGAAGGAAGGACTTCGTAGATGCCTAACTACAAGATCAACAAGCTGCATTTTGTAACGCTCGAACGTGTACCGACCAAATCGCAACATTATGGATCATTGTGGAACAGTCAATTGAATAGAACTCACCACTCTGCATCAACTTCATTGACTACGAGAAAGCATTTGATAGCATGGACAGGACAACACTATGGAGGCTTCTTCAACACTACAACGTGCCTAAGATAGTCAACATCATACGCTATTCTTATGATGGATTAAACTGCAAAATCGTAGACGAAGGAGAGCCAACAGACTCTTTCGAGGTGAAGACCGGTGTCAGATGGGGTTGCTTACTCTTACACTTTCTCTTTCTCCTGGTGATTGACTGGATTACGAAGACGTCAGCATCTGGAGGGGAGCATAGTATACAGTAGACTGCAAGGATGCAGCTGGATGATTTGGACTTAGCAGATGATCTGGATCGTCTATCGCGCAAGCGACAATAAATGCAAGCAAAGACGACCAGTGTAACATCAGGGTTCAACATGCATGAAGGGAAAACCTTTACATATTTAGGCAGCATCATTGACGAGCAAGGCGGATGTGATGCAAATATGAAGGCGCGGATCAGCAAAGCAAGGAGAGCTTTCGACAATTGAAGAACATTTAGAACTCAAGACAACTGTCAACAAACACCAAAGTCACAATCTTTAATACAAATGTTAAGATAGTTCTACTGTATGGAGCGGGAACTTGGAGAACTACGAAAGCCATCATCCAGAAGATACAAGTGTTCATTAACAGTTTTCCACTCAAAATACTTTGGATCCGTTAGCCAGACACCATCGGCAACAACCTATTGTGAGAAATAACAAACCAGATTGCAGTGGAGGAAGAAATCAGTAAGAAGCGCTGGAAGTGGATAGGATACAATAGGAAATGCACCAAACTGCCCCACAAGACAAGCTCCCCATTTGGAATCCCTAAGGCCAATGGGACAAAAGGAAGGCCAAAGAACACCACACTGAGAAACGGAGACAGATATGAGAAGAATGAGCAGAAATTGGACAGAATTGGAAAGGGGAGCTCAGGACAGAGTAGGTTGGAGGCCTATGCTCTATGGGGTGCAACAGACATAAATAATTAAGTAAACGAATCATAACTAGAACACCATTGAAAACCAAATAGTGTTACATGTCTGTTTTATTCTAGAATAAGACTTATCAACAATGCGCTTTCACAATCCCACTGAAGATGTACCCTAGACCTATTGATATTACATCCCAATGCTTAATCTTTGGATCAACATGGCACAGTACAGTTATCACTAAATCAACTTAGTAATCCAGTAATAAGTTAGTAATAACATTTGCAAAATTAAAATTAAACTCTCACAATCAGTTGATTATATCATCATAACTAATTAATGCAGAGTAGAAATACAAATTGAAAATTAGATACGTGTGAATGTTTCATTATCTATGACATGAATAATGGTAAATAATATTAGTAAAACAAGTGCAATAAAATATTTACTACGAAAAAATTATTATTATAGACAAGTAGTTAGGCAAGATTAAAATTACAAAAAAAGAAAAAAAATTAAAAATGTTAACAAAATCGAACTTTAGAAAGAAAATTTTATAGAGAAAAAGACAATTTCTGGACCTGATAGTATCTAAGTAAGCTATGAGATTGTATAATTTTTAACTGGAAGAAAGTTAGGGGTGGCCAAACTAAAACATGGCACAAATCCATGAAGTCATTGACGAGTGGACTTAGCCATGTCGGTGCACGAGTGTACTGTGCAGTGGTTCACTCCGTCTTACTTTATGGCTGTGAAACATGGCCGGTCAGAGTAGAAGATATTCGTAGGTTACTGGTTTTCGATCATAGGTGTCTCCGAAGCATTGCTCGTATATCGTGGGACACCCGAGTGAGCAACGTTGTTATTAGGAAACGGGTGCTAGGTAAGAATGGCAGATCAATAGACGCAGTAGTGACACTTCATCAGTTGAGGTGGTTGGGACATGTGTTGCGTATGCCCAACCACCGACTGCCTCGACGAGCTTTGTTATGTAGTGCAGGAATAGGTTGGAAGTAAGTTAGGGGTGGCCAGACCAAAACATGACACAAATCCATGAAGTCATTGACAAGTGGATTGAGTCATGTCGGTAGTTGTCGACTACCTGGTTGGGTTCCGCGAGATGACAGTAGTCGATGGTTAGAGACCTTGAACGACATGGCTCAGAATCGTTTGCAATGGTGCAGGTGCATTTATTCTTTGTGTTCTCTCAAATCCTAATCTTCTGGATTCTTCAACACCTCTAGTTTTGTCTTTCTAACCTTATCTCACGGAATCATACTTCTTGAATAATATCTTCTAATCCTAACCTCTCTGATTACTGCTAATACCTTTACTACTATTGGATTTGAATTGACAATTATATCTCTGTGTGCTGATGTGGTATGGCAACATGAACTGATGTACATACGTACGTACGAAGTTCTACGTTGCATCTGACTGACTGGATTATGCTGTATATGGTAATCCAAATCTGAAACGCTAGTCTTTTTTTATCAATCAACAAACACAAAGACAGAACCTCGCATCACTTCTTTAGTCAATCATTTATATAGTTGTGAGTTAATATTACTAGAATAAAAGCTTTTATTTTTGAAATTCTAATTGAAAGATATGATAATATATAGCCAGTAAAATACTAATTCGATGTATACAAAAATTTTTTTTAGAACGTACATTTAATGCCATACGATTAAGTCATACATTCTTCAGTTATTTTATATTTTATCAGACCATCTAAGAAGGTGTCTAAACGATAAGCTGTAAGAAACGGATAGAATAATAAAATTTAGAATTTAAAGAAATAATGTTTATATTGACTATTGTCATTAGTTTGAAATATTATTAATACACAGTAACATGGAATACTGTGACATCATCATATCTAAACCATATCATATATATATATATATATATATATATATATATATATATACTCTGTAATCATGAAGCATTGATACAAATTATGATTAAATTTAACTAACACGTTTAATAATCAATGTAAAATCAAGGTGATAAAGCTTAAATATGTTTGTTTTTTTTAATGTTTTCGGAATATGATATTATAAAATAGACAGTTAAGGTATATGTATCATTTTGTTAATTCAATTTAACTAATGACAGAAATGGTTACTCATTTTCTTTAATGAACAGAATTATTTTTGATGAAGGGTAGTGGATGAAAAAAGTCACCATAATTAATCTAGCTACACTGATGTATTATTGTGCAAACAAGTGATACTGTATTCAAATACTTTATTACCCTAATCGTATTATGCAATATTATGTGACAGTGGAAGGATTGTACACGACTTCTGAATTGATATAAACACTGGTTAACTAGTTTAAAATATAAAAAATGTAACTTAAACCCTATATCAGTGAATATAGATAATATATGTATCTCACATACGGAGGTAACAACAACATTTTTGAAAGTCTCAGTAAAAGTATATTTTACTGACTACCTTTAAAGTATCTTACAATAATCATGAGCAAGTAGGGTTAATTGTTAGTCAATTTCAATGTAGATGATAAAGATGAATACAAAAAAACGGAAAAACATTTAGTGTTGAGAATTAGAGTCAGAGTATAAATAATAATATGCGCATATGGATGAATACTTATGAAGTTAGTTCCTTAAATTTAAAATCTCAAGTACATTTTAAAATTCATAAAATAAGGTAAGATATTACACATGATTAAGTCTTATTAGTCGCTTATTAAACGTCTGGTGCTAAATCAAGCACCATCCCGAGGTTAACTTAAGAGACATTCAAATTCATCTAAGCTTCTGAATTCCTCATAATCTCTATCTTTCTCCTTCTAAATTTATCTTACTGAATTATACTTCTCGAATCATATTTTCGCTCCCTGACCTTCTCCATTACTGCTAATACTTCTATTATTGCTATCACTGTTGGATTTGAACTGACAGCTGCGTCTCTGTGCTGATGGGGCATGGCAACCTGAACTGATGTACTTACGTACGAAGTTCTGCGTTGTATCTGTCTGTCTGTCATCTTTAGTCGTTTAAATTTTTATAAATTCTAAGCATCTCAGCAACAAAATTTTGGTATCTTTCAACGAACTCTCGGTTAGGTACAAACAGTCCATCATCATATTTTGAACCTTCGTCTAAAACTCTAAGGGCCACTAGCTTATATCTGACTCATTCACCAGCATATCATACATTTATCACCATGAAGCATGTTTTTATTTATAGCGGTTTTTAAGTCACAAAAATTAATTCGGAGAGTGTTGGTCACTCTTATTGCGTTTTGACGCCGTAGTTTGTTTCATTCCACTTCATGGGTGTGAAACATAGCCATTAAAAGGATATTTATTGTCTACTAGTATCCAACCATATGTGTCTAGAATTGTTCGTGTACATTGTAACCACTGAGCACGCAATCCCAAGGTTAGGAAGAGGGTATTGGTCAGAAATGGCAAATCAATCGGTCAGGTAGTGAATCCTCATAGTCTGTCTCAATGGGCGATGCTATCTGATGTAGAAGCCAGTTGAAAGAAAGTTGGGGGCTTCCAAACCAAAAAGGTGGCACCAGTTTATAAAACCATTAAACTGAGCTATATCAATTGGTGTAAACTATCCGGCTGGGGTTCACTTGATCATCGTAACCAATGGTCGGAGATTACGGGTGACAATGATCACAACCGTTTGCAATAGGGTTGGCTCATTCACTTCTCGTCTTCCTTTGGAACATGAGACACTAGAATCTACTTTTACCCTCTCCTCTTCCTGCTACTACTATTGATATTGTTAATACTTTTATTAATCTAGGACATGCTTAAGAATACTTTTAACTCGCTGTATTAGTGTGATATAGATATATGAGTTAATGTATGTGTGTCAGGTACTATCGACTGACTTATTGATATTTACGATGTAACTTCTAATCTATGAACAAGTCAAGAGATCCACCGCAAGAATGATCAACAAAATGACTGATCTTTTCTTAATAATAATAAAAAACTTTGATCAATAATCAACTGGAGGATACTGCTGAAAGATGTGTCTACGACTGAACATTGTGATAAACCTGAAAAGAACTGTTGTGTAGTATAGTACAATGTTTTATGACTGGTTTTCCTATTTAACTATGATAAACCTTGGATATTTTAAACTCTGTGATCAAGATTACCAACTACCTTGGCGACTGTTTAACCGCGATGCGACTTTTCAGTACAGTAGGCTTCCTACTAAACAACAAAGTAAAAATCCATATTAAGCCTAATCTGAGAGTTTGGAGACGAAAGACCTTTTGAATTGTGAGGAAATATTAGTTGAGAAACGTTATCTGAACAATATTTTGTGCTTATTAAATAAACAATTAGGAGTCTTTGACTTCAATTTAACATATATCTTCATAGTAAAGAGGCCAGAAGTAACGAAAAGTTACTTTTACATGAATAAAAAACACATTATGAAAAACATACGAGTACTCACAAACTGACTTCACTCCTGTAGAGAAAGTCACTTTATCCCCCTGAGGTAGCGTTTTAATTGAATATACACTAAGAACAATGACAATTGTCCAATATCCGGAATCCCAATGATGAAAATAGATGTGTAACAGATTATATTCGAGGCATACGGACAATTGAGTAGACAAAGTCCGATCAACGAATCTTTAAAGTACACGAAATAATTATAAGTTTTAGTAATCACGATCCTTCCAACAACAGCTCAGTTTATTGACCGGTCTCATTGCAGCAAGATACTTCTATTGCCTCCACATAGCAGCTGCAAACTTTCACTCCGGAAACTGTTTTTAAAATCCATCATATGATCTTCATTTTGAAACAAGTCTGTCAGCAGACTTATTTTTCGCTCTCAACGTCTACCTTTGCTCTGTCGACACTAGGAATTCTGTGGCTACCCCAGGGACTCTTTCCGCATTTCAAAAATTACTTTTAAATTGAGTGCTTGCCGTTCGTTTTTTACGGACTACTTTGGGATCATTGTAACACAGTACCAACAGGGAACTGGAAGGTATGTCTTCGTTAGCTTTACTGGACTTTAAGTAAGTTGCTGCACTGCAAGAACTGCGGACTGCACTTTAGTGGTATACTTTTACGAAGAAAACACAGTTTTTCAAATGGAAACATTTATAATTGTACTTAATTTTGACAATAAGTGTTATCTTGTACTCCTTTCGTCTATCCGTACTAAAGACTTGTGGAGTTGACATGACAAACTTATTTTGTAAATAGTTTTTGACGCTATTTGTATTTATTCTGTTAAATTTCGCAGCCTGTACATTTACTATGAAATGGTTGTACATTTTGTTTGAGTGTGTGTCCTTGGATATCAAGCGCCTTGACTACTGCACGTTTCCGTTGTACACATAGCACGGCACTCACTGTTCCCTCCTAACAAATATACTTTATACACATGTCTCATGTTCTCCATTGTTCATTAATGCGATAACTGGATTCTAATACGTATGTTGTCTACATTTATAGAATGCAGTCATATGTGTATGCTATTCTACGGATAGTTATACCACTTGGAATATTAACATTTTTTATGATTGTGGATTTATAGTACCAAACACAACCGAACACGTACAAGCAGCCGTATGGAATAACGTCCTTACATTTTTATTGTGTTTACTACATTTAATTGATATATTTCGCTATTTATCTGTTTGTATTCAATAACTTTGCTAAAATATTTTGAAATAATATATAGTTTGGTCCACCACAGACTATCTCTCAGGCGTCAAGCATGTTATTCCCATTCCGTTTCTCTCCTAGGTGGTTGTTAGCCGCTCCTGTATTCTGGTCTTCTTATTATTTTGACATCACAAGGCCAGCGATAAATATACTTCTTCTCCCACGAACAGTCTTTTCTTTAATTTCTGACCTTATCGAAATTCAACAAAGTAATCCCACGAAGAAAGATATTTTACGAACTCACTATAATTGGCGGGCGACAACTACGAAACACGCATCAAATACGGAGAGTCCATCAATTTTCTATCCAATTTCTTACTATTTTCCACAAGACACAAGTGTCATTAACAGTACTGTGGGAGAGAACAAACCAGATTCCAGTGGAGAAGGAAATCAGTAAGAAGCGGGGGAACTGGAAAGACATATACGAACAGTACTTAACTGCATCACAAGACAAGCCGTCACTTAGAACCTTCGGGCAAAAGGAAAAGAGTAAGGCCCAGGAACACATTACGACGAGAAATAGAGAAAGACATGAGAAGAATGAACAAAAATTGGACAGCATTGAAAAGAGAGCCCATGACAGAGTTGACTGGAGAAAAACTGGTGGACGGCTTAGGAGGTGACAGGCGTAATCAAGCAACCATAATAACGTCGTCAGTGTACCTTGACACTGGATCCTTGGTCCGAATGAAGTTTCGTCAGTACTCCTATAAATGGATTTCTACCGTAGCGGTTCAAATGGTTTCCAATAAGTGCAATCCGAACGCGTATCTCCCGGTCAAATATTAAAAACACAACAATTCTAGGAGAAAACGGTCTGGAATTGATGCACCTTCCAGGTTACAATTACTCCGAAGAGTATCCAAAACAAAGATGAATAAGTGACGTTAAGTCCAACAGCTACCGTATCAATCCAAATATGGCTGTAGCCATATTAAAGATCAAATTTAAACAACATATATACAGTTCAGAAGCAAACACAAAACTTCAATATAAGTACAAAATATAGAAATAATAACAATATACAATGATAAATTCTCAAATTGGAATCAAATAAAATACCAAAAATGTCAACAGAAAGAGTCCGTCATGTCATAACAAAAATATGTAAACATGGAGGGATTTTCCAAAAAACAAAACATTCAAAAAGGATTCTACACCGGCTCGCAAAATCCCTCCATGCAAAAAAGCAAGCGTTAATGACACTTCAATTTAGGGTTCCCACTCATCCCCTAATCCACACCGGAAGAACGTGTAGGACTTACAGCAGTACGCCTACCCGCCCTCCAACATGGATATGACCTATCAAGCTAACTAGGTACCTATACCTTCCCATCAGGCCCTTGATTCCCCTATCTATCGTAGCATGACCTAACGGTAGTATAAACCTTACCCAATTAACCCACACGAACATGTACAACACGTCGTAAAACTGGTCATATCCTATCCGGGAACTACATTCCATATCATGGGGACGAGTCGTCAATCCACCACCACTTGCTCCGATCAGCAGATACAATGAAGTCCGTGATGCTGACTTATCAACAGAAGTTCTTGACCCATAGATAATATGCAAGGGTGGGATCTCCAATTTTGACATTTCTTCGTCTCCAGAAGACTTTAAGTAGCATAACGTGGGATCAATATTTATCTCTCCATCTCCTGATACAGAGGAGGTTTGATCAGCATTCGTCATCGTCACCAACTCATTTGTCACATCAGTGACATCCAGTTTATTATCAACGTCATCATGATTCCGTTCTGTCAGACAAGTCGCGTCGATTCGGTCTGCACTAGCATCCGTAGAGTGGAACTCTTCCATTTTTGTATAACTCATATCACTACATGAAAGAACAGCATTAGTATCGCAATTCGAAACTGATAAACTCACTTGTTGTTCTTCATGTTCCGTTTCAGAGACACAAAACATATGCTCATCAATAGCATCATTATCATGCAACACTGTAGATTGGTTGTTACCATCAGACGCTTCCTTCTCATCATCACTTGACTGACAGTCAACCGAAATAGGGACACTTACAGTTACACAACCTTGTGTATCCTCAATCAACTTAACATTCGCGACAAGGTCCGATGACGTCGAAACACTAGAAGGCTCGTTCGATGAAGTTGATCGACTAGTCACTATAAGTGGACTGCTCACACTTTCTGTCTCCTTATTATCGCTGTCACTACTGAGATCCTGATGACTACTATTTCCATTGCTAGTCATAGCATCCGAAAGAGAATGATGTTTAGGCTTCTTAATAATAGTAGCATCATGTTGTTTCCTAGGCTTCTTAGCCTTTACAGTACCGCCATCACTTATCCTAGAATCAACTCTAGGTCCCGTTATATAATTTACCCTAAGTGAAGGGTTCCGAACATAGGCTTTATTCCGTCCAGACAATCCTGCCTGGGCCTTATTCATATTTACTGAATTCATTAACCTCTGTTTACTCGAATCCAAATAACCGTTCCAGGCTTTTCGAGCAGTTAAGAGGCTTTTATCATCACACACTTCGGATCCATCTTGATGCCTACACTTTTCACTTTTTTCTTTCTTTTCCATACTTAGAAAAGCCATCTTATCTGTTACACCAACCGGCTTCTTACTGGGATACGCATCAAGAGGTTTTACATCATCACGGTCACATACTCGGCCTTCAACAGCCTTCAACCCGATATAATTGACAACTCTCTTATATTCGGGGTGTGAGTTAGGTGCAATCGAAGAATCCTCATGTCTCGCACGCGGACCACTAATAGCTTCCGTATTATGTCCTGTTTTAGCCCGATAAGCTAATCTTCCGAACCTACTACTAGCTATCTTAGCACGAGACATAATAAATTCCGTCAACTCATTGAAATTAGGCTCTCTCTCCTCTTCGTCCCACTTGATTCCCAGCTCTGCCCACTGGGCTTGCATTCGACGAGGTAAGAGCCTGACTATTCGTTCTAAAGTAACCAGGGAATTTAGTTCCGTTGTACAATTTAATTGTTCTAAGGTTAATGCCGCATTCTGCATTTTAATAGCCAAATTCGTCAACTCTTCAGGATCATTAAAATCTGCGTTCCCAGTTCTAAATAAGTCCTCTAAGGTTTCCCGGGCTATTACATGCGACTGTCCAAAGAGCTGTTTTAGAATGGCCTTAGCTATCTTATATCCCGCTTGTGGATCCATTATAATACAACCTTCAATCGCATTTTTTGCCCTTCCTTTACAGTAGTGAATTAAATACAATAAACGCAAATTTTCATCTTTTATTCTGGGTTCTATAAACGTTTCAATTTGGCGCATAAATCTAAAATAGTCGCGAGACCTTCCATCAAAAAATGAAAGTTCGACCTTAGGTAGTTCTAAACCTACTATCGGTGTCCTAAGTATCTGATCCGTCTCTGGTACCTTAGAACTCTCACTTAAGCCTTGTTCCTTAATGCCTGCCAAAGGTGACTTACAATAATAAGTATCAGACATAACATCGTTATTCACATAGTAGGAACCCATTAAACGAACAACATCAACGACTTGCCTAGCGTTTCGGGGTCCTTCAAGCTCTTCCACCCACCTCGTGTTTGTTTTCTTCCTGCTGCTCATTTTTAAGTGAAGTTCAACGGAAGATAAATAACAAATACAAAATATAGGAATTCCACAGGTGATAAATATCCAAAATCAAAAAATCGTCTTCCAAAATACAGTTCGAATACAAAAATACGATAAGTAATCCAAGATTCTTCTTTCAAGAAGGTTAGTGTTATAAACGATTAAATTTCCAAATGTTTCTTTATTCTTCTTAATAATCCGACTGTAATTGGTCTTCTAATCAA